GTATGCATGTATGGGCAGAGCATACCTAGTTGTATGCATGTATGGGCAAAGCATGCATGTCTGTATGCATGTATGGGCATATCATACCTAGTTGTATGCATGTATGGGCATAGCATGCCTAGTTGTATGCGTGTATGTGCATAACGTGCCTGAATGTACGCAGGTATGGGCATAGCATGCCTGGCTGTCTGTGTGTATGGGCATAGCATGCCTAGTTGTATGCGTGTATGTGCATAACGTGCCTGGCTGTACGCATGTATGGGCATAGCATGCCAGGCTGTATGTGTGTATGGGCATAGCATGCCTAGTTCTGTGTGTGTTTGGGGATGGCATGCCTGGCTGTATGTGTATATGAGCATAGCATGCCTGGCTGTGTGTGTGTATGGGCATGGTATGCCTGGCTGTATGTGTGTATGGGCATAGCATGCCTAGGTGTATGTGTGTATGGGCATAGCATACCTAGTTGTATGCATGTATGGGCATAGCATGCATGGCTGTATGCATGTATGGGCATAGCATGCCAGGCTGTATGTGTGTATGGGCATAGCATGCCTCACTCTGTGTTTGTATGGGGATGGCATGCCTGACTGTATGTGTATATGGGCATAGCATGCCTGGCTGTGTGTGTGTATGGGGATGGCATGCCTAGCTGTATGTGTGTATGGGCATAGCATGCCTAGCTGTATGTGTGTATGGGCATAGCATACCTAGTTGTATGCATGTATGGGCATAGCATGCATGGCTGCATGCATGTATGGGCATAGCATGCCAGGCTGTATGTGTGTATGGGCATAGCATGCCTGGCTCTGTGTTTGTATGGGGATGGCATGCCTGACTGTATGTGTATATGGGCATAGCATGCCTGGCTGTGTGTGTGTATGGGGATGGCATGCAGAGCTGTATGTGTGTATGGGCATAGCATGCCTAGCTGTATGTGTGTATGGGCATAGCATGCCTAGTTGTATGCGTGTATGTGCATAACGTGCCTGGCTGTATGCATGTATGGGCATAGCATGCAAGGCTGTATGTGTGTATGGGCATAGCATGCCTGGTTGTATGTGTGAATGGGCATAGCATACCTAGTTGTATGCATGTATGGGCATAGCATGCATGGCTGTATGCATGTATGGGCATAGCATGCCTAGTTGTATGCGTGTATGTGCATAACGTGCCTAGCTGTATGCATGTATGGGCACAGCATGCCAGGCTGTACGCGTGTATGGGCATGGCATGCCAGGCTGTGTGTGTGTATGGGCATAGCATGCCTAGCTGTATGTGTGTATAGGCATGGTATGCCTGGCTGTATGTGTGTATGGGGATGGCATGCCTAGTTGTATGTGTGTATGGGCATAGCATGCCTGGCTGTATGTGTGTATGGCCATAGCATACCTAGTTGTATGCATGTATGGTCATAGCATGTATGGCTGTATGCATGTATGGGTATAGCATGCCTGTGTGTGTGTGTGTATGGGCATGGCATGCCTGACTGTAAGTGTATATGGGCATAGCATGCCTAGCTGTGTGCATGTATGGGCATAGCATGCCTGGCTGTATGTGTCTATGGGCATAGCATACCTAGTTGTATTGTATGCATGTATGGGCGTAGCATGCATGGCTCTATGCATGTATGGGCATAGCATGCTTGGCTGTATGTGTGTATGGGCATGGCATGCTTGACTGTATGTGTATATGGGCATAGCATGCCTGGTTGTGTGGGTGTATGGGCATGGTAGGCCTGGCTTCATGTGTGTATTTGGATGGGATGCCTAGCTGTATGTGTGTATGGGCATAGCATGCCTGACTGTATGTGTGTATAGGCATAGCATACCTAGTTGTATGCATGTATGGGCATAGCATGCATGGCTGTATGCATGTAGGGGCATAGCATGCCAGGCTGTTTGTGTGTATGGGCATACCATGCCTGGCTGTATGTGTGTATGGGCATAGCATACCTAGTTTTATGCATGTATGGGCATAGCATGCATAGATGTATGCATGTATGGGCGTAGAATGCCTGGCTGTGTGTGTGTATGGGCATGGCATGCCTAGTTGTATGCGTGTATGTGCATAACGTGCATGGCCGTATGCATGTATGGGGATAGCATGCCAGGCTGATTGTGTGTATGGGGATGGCATGCCTAGCTGTATGTGTGTATGGGCATAGCATGCCTGGCTGCATGTGTGTATGGGCATAGCATACCTAGTTGTATGCATGTATGGGCATAGCATGCATGGCTGTATGCATGTATGGGCATAGAATGTCTGGTTGTTTACTGTCTTAAGAAATCAATGTGGTCGGCGTGAGTTTTGCCTACTCTCGTTTTTTTATATTTCTGAGTTTCATCCCATGTTCTGAAACCCCAAACGCAATATCCAACACCATAAGTGCATATAAACAAATTATGTGGTCCACTTTTGAACGTATGTTGTGTTTCTATGATTCATTGGTGTACTGTGCAGGTCGTACAGCACGCGCTGTCTGTTGCAGCCGCAAGACAAAGAACATCTTCCAACACCAATTTCTATTGCTTGTTGGAACATCTTGCGGGGACAGATTTCTGATTGCACGGCGTTACCACTGTTCTCTAATTTGGATATTGGGAACTCCAACTATTAGGCTATTTGCGATGGTGCATGTGTTTGTTTGATTGTTGTTTGCATTTGAGGGGTGTGCATGGGTTTGATAAATACTGTCTGTTTCGGGGTGTGCCTGCTGGTCCTAGTCCCCATGTGCATAGTGCGTGTGGCAGCAAATGTTATAAGGCGTGGATTGTGTCTGCTTCGGATGTGCTGCTTATATGCAAGGTGTTGCAATTTGAGGTTGTCATCGTGCGTGGGGCAACTTTGTTGTCATTGCGCACCCCATCAATCTCTGTTGCAGCATTGACGCATATATGCAATCGTTTCGTAGCTCTCACGGGCTTCTCAGGCGTCCGGTCTACGGCCTGCGTCAGGCTCCCCGCGAGTGGCACGACACGCTACGTGCCACGTTAGCAGACCTGCAGTTCTTTCCGTCCTCTGCTGACCCTTCACTGTTTGTGCGTTCCGGCCAGACTCCGTTCTACATCCTTGTCTACGTAGACGACCTGGTCTTCGCTACTCCTGACAGGGACGCACTGGCCTCTGTGAAGGCTGAGCTGCTGAATAGACACACCTGCACTGACCTTGGAGAGCTGCGTCGCTATCTTGGCCTGCAGATCTCCAGGAACAGAGCAGCACGCACCATCACTCTGACCCAGTCACACTTGGTGCGTCAGGTCCTTCAGAGGTTCGGTCTTCAGTTCTCCTCCGCACAGCCCACACCTCTACCCGTAGACCATGGGCTCTCTGCTCCCGTTCCTGAGGAGCCAGTAGAGCCCAGTGGCCCCTATGCTGAGCTGGTGGGTTGCCTCATGTACCTGATGACTTGCACGCGCCCAGATCTCGCATACCCTCTCAGCATCCTGGCTCGCTTTGTGGCTACAGGCAGACACCGACCTCAGCACTGGTCTGCCGCTAAGAGGGTTTTGCGTTATCTTGCTAGTACATCAGGCATGGGGTTAGTGCTAGGAGGACGCAGGCCAGTGGTCCTTACTGGGCACACAGACGCTTCTTGGGCAGACGACGCTGAGACGCTCAGGTCGTCACACGGCTACTGTTTCAGCCTTGGTTCGGGTGCTATCTCTTGGAGATCCACTCGCTCGTCGTCTGTGGCTCAGTCTAGCTGTGAGGTTGAGATCTACGCTGGTGCCATGGCGGCACAGGAGCTCCGCTGGCTGACCTTCTTGCTCACAGACTTAGGTGAGCGGCCTAGCTCTGCCCCGGTCCTGTACGCTGACAACAGAGCCATGATACTCCTGTGTCAGGAGCCTCGGCTTGAGGGTAGAGCGAAGCATATCCAGCTGCGGTACTTTCTCCTGCGTGAGCTACAGCAGCGCCGCCAGGCCCGCGTAGTTCACTTGGCCTCAGGTGCCAACACAGCTGATATCTTTACTAAGGCGCTTGCGCCTAAAGATCATCAGCGGCACTGTGTACAGCTTGGTCTTGTTCCTGTAGCTGCTCCCCTGTTAGGATCCTGATTGTGTACTCTCTATTATATATGCTTGTCAGACTGGCCTTGTGGCCTTACCTCCAGTGGCTGGACTAGTAGTGCCACCCTGGCTTGCTTCAGTTTTGGTTGTATTCTTGCTGACTGGTCTCCAGACCCCTGCCTCAGTGGTTGGACTAGTAGTGCCGCCCTGAGCTGTTTGTTTCTTGTTTAGTTTCACCCCTTGTCTAGCCTAGGGGGTGTGTCAACTTATACATATTATCTATGTAGAAGTTATAGGCTAGACTGAGGTATGCTTCTAGTGAGTACAACCAACTAGTATTTGTTCTAGGTTTCCACCTCTAGTCATTATTCGTTCTCATTTTGACAGTCATCGTGCGTGGGGCAACTCTGTTGTCATTGCGCACCCCATCAATCTCTGTTGCAGCATTGACGCATATATGCAATCGTTTCGTAGCACTCACAATCCTATCGTACTTGCATGTTCACTCCATCACTGTATGTATCGACGAGATGTGGCTGGCACGAGGTGTGTTTGGATTGCGTTTGCCCCGAGCGTGCTGCTTATTGGCTAGTTGTTGCAATTAGAGATTGTCATCGTGTTCGGGGCAGTTCCGCTGTCATCGTGCACCCCATCAATCTCTACTGCAACACTATTAATGCCTATATGCACTCGTTTCTTGTCATTTGCAATCCTACAGAATGTTTAATTATACATAATTTGTTGAAATGTGTCATGCGGTCTGATTTTTCCATCCGCCGTACTTATCGACGCGATGGAGCACTTTGGACATTTCGGATTCATATTTTGGAGTTGCATCGAACAGTTAACTAAATTCTTAAAATTTACTGTTCATATTAATGCTCCGAAATGTGAAACCGATTTTATAGGGTTGCTACGCAACTCAAAAAAAATGTTAGATCGATTGCAATAGGTTGCTTTGCAACCCAAAAACCTTTCTTCCTCCCTGGGCTGGGGTCGTACCATGCCTAGGATGGTACAGCAGGAGGCAGACGGTTTTCGCTGAGAGGGTGTCCCAAGTGGGATGTGGACAAATGTCGTCGACAACATCCGCATACATCCGAGGTAGTTTCAGTACGATCTAGTTAACTTTTACAAGGTTATAGAATATTTCTAGATCGGTGCTTCTACATCCGGGATGTCGCTGGATGTTGCTGGGCACTTAGGACACTCCCTGAGCGTGAGAAAAAAACGAGCAGGTTCCTTCCCAGAGACAGCTCCATGCAGCCGCGATTCACTACACGAGTACCACATGCTCAACGCTCAGTTCCCTCCATGGCAGCCCACGCGAGCGAGCTGTCCGCGCCGTGGCGCGCCGTGCCATGCCAAACGCACGCGTCACGTGCACGTGGAAAACGGCGATAGCAGGTCCCGTTTTACTGTTCCGCCAAACAACACAGCTCCGGTCTTAGCCGTTGCTCGCGGGTGCAGCCGCCACCGCTAGCTAGCGTCTCTCCCATCGAGTGGCACACGAATAGTACAGTAACTCTAGGCTTGCGGCGAGCAAGGCGACAAGTCGGTGGACGGTCGGCTCCGCTCAGCCAGAAGCCAAGGAGGCCAAGGGTGAAAAATTACCGTCTGCATGCTGAACTGGACTGACTCATCTTCAGGGTGTGGCTCGGCTGACGTGTGCTTGCGTAGAGTTCAGGGCTTCGGATTCTTGCCGTAAAGATGATGAAGCCTTGTCGGGGTACAGTCCTACATAAACACGGCAACAGCCAAAGATACGAATCTCGGGACCGGGAGCCTGGAAAAGAGTGGCTGCACGAGACGAAACTCCCAACTGGGGAGGGATATTCAAATAAGCCCGCCGACTACGGGTAGCCTTCAAGAAGATGTTGTCGAGATGCACGGGAACGCCAGCAGAGAGTGTGCAGGAGATGTTAACTGGATGACACATACATACACACAGTGGTCTTACTAGTGTACGTAGCTCTATCACATCAGTGTGGTCGAACTGATCTTGGGCACTGCGAACGACTCGTAGAAGGTTTTTGGCAGTCGGCATGGTGTCGGCTGAATCAAGCCAAGCTCGCGCGTCCATCCATTCTCGAGGGAAGGCGAAGCCGAGCAGCACTCGTTTCGCCAATGTGGTAACCTCCCCAGCACCAGAGCGGCTCGCACCGCAACACTTGGGGCGCTCCGATCCGAAAACTGTACAAATTGCGGTGGCCCTCACTCCACTCTTCCAGCACGCGAAATCTCGGCAAGCGCGAAATCTTTCACTTGCAAGAACCTTCCTCACATCACGACGCTACTCTTCTTTCTCCCGACTGGCTGGAACGCGCGAATTGGCATCACACCACCACTCTTCTCAAAACTAGGTCGAAACACGAACTACTACTCCACCAAGCTATCATGATGGCAGCGTTTGCCGCGCATCATTCCCCGTCCCTGCCGACGGTGTTCGTGGTCTGCCTTCTCACGCTCGCCGTCCTCCTTTCTTGCACGCACGCCGACGACGGCGGCGGCGATGACGCTGCCGATCTCCTCGGTGCTGGTATCTTCGCGAGTCACGGCGAGGACGGCAACGGGGACAGCCTCCGAGACCTCTTCTTCCACCAGGATTTCTCTGAAGACCCATCTACGACGACGACGGCGACGATGGAGAGTCCTCCCCAGCGTGACGACGGGCGAAAACTCGCGATGACCATCGGCGTTTGCATCTCGCCGAACGTCCGCTGCCCGGGTCCTCTGGGCCTCGCGTCATGCTGCTCCCCCTCTCAGCGCTGCTGCAACGGCCGCTGCTGCAACCCGCAAACCACCACCTGCTGCGGCAGCGGTTGCTGCCTGTCGGCACTCAACCCCCTGTGCTGCCAGGTTCGCACGGCTGTGGTCCCTCGCGTGGTCGCGTCCGCCTGCTGCCCGACCCTCGATAGGTACGGGAATGCGACGAACAACGTGTGTTGCGGCGGCAGGTGCTGCAATAAGGGCAAGTGCTGCAACGGCAAGTGCTGTGGCAGGCTCAGCTACTGCTGCAGTGGCACCACGTGCTGCCCGCGGTCAAGAAAGGTCATGTGCTGCTCTATCGCTGGGCAGGCTGGGGGAAGCTGCTGCCTGAAGTACAATAGTTTCGGCAGGCCGACCAACAATTTTTGCTGCGGGCAAAAGTGTTGCAGGAGGGTCCCAGGAGCGAACGCGAAATGCTGCGTTGATACAGCCACCCAGCAGCCGAAATGCTGCACCCAGTGAACAGTTTGTGTGGATTGCTACAGTACAGTACATAGTTGCCTAGGAGGTCTGTGCAGACTAACCTAGTAGTGTGCATGGAGAAATAAAGCGCAGGCGGGTGGGGCAGTGGGGCTACGGACGGACGGGCTGGTGAGTAGACGGTTTTGTGCTCCACATTTTGGTTTGCGTTACAATTTGCTTGTCATTTTGCTACCTCATTTTAGACTTTGTAGTGTTTTAATTATGAATTCCAATAACAGCACGTGGATCTATTTCATACTCTAAGTTACTCACACCCCAAACAACCATTGCTCCTGTTATTGAACAAGGGAAACGCAAGCAAGGTGGCAACAGGAACACAGAAAAACCTCACACTATCGGCTCTAACGATGTGACTCCCCCGAGCATCAAACCCCCGAAGCTCTGAAGCTTCTAAGCGGGGAAGGCGGAGCCCTGCGGAGTCCTCAGCGTAGGAATGTGGGAGCCATCCTAGCTGCAGCACCTCGGCTGCTTGGTGATCGGATTAATGCAGCACTTAACCCTAACCTCGGGCACGCCTTTGCAGCACTGCTGCCCGCAGCAATAGTTATTCGTGGGCAGCCCCAGGCGGTTGGCGGTGAGGCAGCAGGAGCAGCCAAGCTTTCCGCTAACGGCGCAGCACGACCTTGGTGTTGCGCGCCCAGCACGTGGCTTCGCCGCAGCAGTACTTCCTCGACACGCAACACCTGCCGTTGTAGCACCGTGCGCTCTGCGCGCAGCACGAGACCACTGCCTGGGAGTTCGGGCAGCGCACGTTGGGCGCGTCGCAGATGGCCAACTCACAGCCGCGACCGGTACGGCCGGCTGAGGTTTCGCTGGCGATGGCGCTGCGGTGATCGTCAGAGTCTTCGGAATGGTACGCGTGGCACGATGGGAGGAGGCCAGCGAGCAACATAGACGTGACGATTATAGGGATAGCTCTAGTTCGCTAACCAACTGGGATAAAAGGTCATGTTTGTATGGTGGGTCAGCTCACCCACACCCCCCCAGGACGACACCTGTAGCCCTTCAAGGGGACCCCTCTGGGCCATCTCAGTGCCCCCTTCCAACACTCCCCTCACTGGGAGGGCCCACCAAGGGCACAGGAAGGCGCTGACACCAGGAATCGAACCTAGGTCCCCCACGAGCATTGTCCACGCTCACTGCACCATGAAGGGATAGCTCCAGTCCGCTAACCAACTGGGATAAAAGGGCATGTTTGTATGGTGGGTCAGCGCACCCACACCCCCCCAAGACGACACCTGTAGCCCTTCAAGGGGACCCCTCTAGGCCATCTCAGTGCCCCCTTCCAACACTCCCCTCACTGGGAGGGCCCACCAAGGGTACAGGAAGGCGCTGACACCAGAAATCGAACCCAGGTCCCCCACAAGCATTGTCCATGCTCACCGCACCATGAAGGGATAGCTCCAGTCCGCTAACCAACTGGGATAAAATGACATGTTTGTATGGTGGGTCAGCGCACCCACACCCCCCCAGGACGACACCTGTAGCCCTTCAAGGGGACCCCTCTGGGCCATCTCAGTGCCCCTTCCAACAACAATGGTCACCAAGAGGAACCCAGGCGCGGAGCTCGCCATTGCCAGTCCTTATATGCGAGGACGACACTAACTCTTGAGGAAGGGTGGGGAGCACTGGCTGCTGACTCGACACAAGAGGTGGAGTTATCCAGGGGCGTGGAGTAGAAAGGTCTCTCAGCAGATCGGGTCTGACGAATGGTCGTTTTTTCGTGCGCTTTGTAGACGGTAGGCTGGAGGGACGGTGGGACTTGACACAGTGGCAATTCGACGGACATGTCAGCTGACACTGCTACGGGGTCTTCAAATTGCATCGCAACGCTTCCTTTTCTGACTGAGGGAGCATGGTCGGTGCCGCCACCAGCTATGGATTGCCAAAAAATCCACCGACACAACTTAGTTATTATCCATGCAGCACTTATGGATTGCACTACGAACTTGTTGTCGGGTGCCAAGTGGAGGGTTCACGCGCATTTGACTTCCCACTGGCTGTTGTCCCTTCCTAGAAGAAAAATACCAATTTGTTTCTTCTGGGCAGCAGTGTATACCAGCCATGGATTCATGTGCGCATAGAAAGGGACAACAAATAAGGGAGCTCCTTTCCCTGCCTTGTCGAAACAATACGCAACCTTGCGTATCATACTTCGCAGCCTTCTCGCACCGGCCATTCTCGCCATATTCAAATTGCTATAATGATCTCGGTGCAAAACCGCTCGTGTATGCTGCTGAATCTGATCTGAATTTTGCTTCTTTACGTCCCCTCAGTTTCTGTCATCTGGCGCCCATACCCTGCCGCTTTGTTACGGTATAACGAGTCATGTAGTGCAATAAGATATATTTTCTGCATTCACGCTCTATGAAGTAAGCCTTGAAAGGGTGGTACGTCATGTAGAACCTGAGCTCTTGTATGCTGTTTGTGATGGAAATACTTTTCCTTATCCGGTGGCCCAAATAGCAAATCGCACCCTTCATATGCAGTGCGAATGAAACTGGCTGAGGCAAAGGGTTACCAAGTTCTTGAAGATTGGGGAGGGGGGAGGGGGGGGGAGGGAGGGAGAAACATGTTCGAAGCTAAAAGAAAGTTGAACTTGAAGCTATAGAAGCTGTGCCTGTGCAATATTGGAAATGTGCTTTGACAATCATCAATCCAACCCTTTCTCCTGCACCACATAGCACTCTCTCTTCAAACTTACCACCAGCCACATTCTTGCTTCAGTTTGAGAACAGTCACACACCCTCTCAAGTTTCCCTCCAGTTTCGCAGAACCCGGTTAGACAACCCTCCCGGTTTCCCGGTTTCGTGCCACTCTGATATTCAACAAAGCACCTTCTACTGCTGGCAACGGTACATTACACACCAAATGCAAAAGAAACCTTAATAGCGAGGTTCATATTCAATCATATACTACTAGAAGAGCAACGCCCTAGCATGCAGCATAACAGCAGCATCAACATAACAGTAGTGCAACTTCTTTCAAAACACAACAGAAAAAAAAACTACTCAGTGTAAATCAAATCGCAACCCCTTCACTTGGTGGCAGCCTCAAGGGGCTCGGCGGCCTTGTTAGCAAACTTGACACCCTTCTCAATGCTGCCCTTGAGCTCGGCAACCATGGCGTCCAGCCCGACCTGTTGAGAATAGCCCTGATCCTGCGAAGGTTGCAGAAGTCTGCGGAAGCGGCATATCAACGAAGTCTGCGGACACGAGCCCTGCAGAAAGACCCATCGACGAAGAGCAGATTTTTCGACAAGGCGAGGTTCTGCAGGAAGTGGCAGAGGAGCAGGTTTTCGTTGGTGGCAGAAAAGCGGTTCTGTCGGAGTGGCAGAAGAGCTTTTTTTCTGCAGATGGCTTCTACAGACTTCTGTGGTTTTGTAGAAGCGGTCCTGGCAAGAACGAGAGTGTACAAGATCCACTGCCGCTTTCGCACCAGGGGCCATTCGCAGAAGGGTTGTCCTCTGCAGAAGTATCGCGCAGATGACATTTCTGCGGGCGACCCTTTCGGCAGAAACGACTCTCGGAAATGCGTTCCAACAGGACCTCGGGCAGAGTGGTGCAAGAACCTGTTTGCGCAGAATTGCGTTATGCCGAGGTTCGGCAGAAAGGCAATTCGGCTATTTCTTCTGTTGACGACCCCCTCAGCAGAAACGAAATTCGGCAGAAGCGCGGCAAAGAGTCATCTCGAACTTCGCTTCTGCGAGCGACCCCTTCGATAGAAGCACGAGGACTTCGTTTTTCTGATGAAGGTGCGTTCCGAAATTGCGAGAAATTTGTGATTTCGTGAGTTAACCACAGAACCGATCTGGACCGAAAACGGCAAAATCTACCTGCGACATTGAGAAATTGAACACGTGACGCACATTTCGTAACTGCAAAAATGTGCGTAACATTTGACAGTTTCATATCTGAAACTGTTAAAATAACTACTTCTAAGTGGGTAAAAATTACCAACTACTTCTAATTTTCACCTGCCATTGCTGACTTGGCTAAGCGCAGCTTAGAGTAGTTATGTAAACGTTCTTGTGCGAACGTTCTCGCCGTGTTCAATGAGGTTCAATGAGGTAGTACTAGTGTTTGTCGTGTGTACCATACTTTGTAATCTTCTTTCTAGTGAATTTGTGTGTCTAAGCTTTCTCAAGCTAATTTGTGAAACACACAATTCTGAAGGCAACTTTCTCCTTAGAGAACCACAGAGCTAGAGAGCTCTATCTGCGTCAGGCACTTCCGCAGAAGCTCCCATTATAGCAGAAAGCTCTGCATGGTGCGGTGAGTGTGGAACGAACACGCGAACGATAGAGGTCGAATCTACTACGTTAGGTCTCGCAGAAGGTCTCGATTGTCGATATGACGGACGGCGAGTCGCACGTCCGTGAGGTGGTCGACGATCTCGAGGCGCAGGAGGCTGCCTTGATAGCCCGCTATGAAGACCTCACAGAGAAGGAGCTCAACTTCATGCTGATGGTGTTACGAGCTCAATGAGAGATGGATCATCCGCGGGCGCGTCTAGCGGAAGTCTCCCGAGACAAGGAAAACGTGGAAGGTTTGGCAGAAGGCGGAGTGCGAGAGTCGCGCGGTGTTCAACGAGAAGGAGAAATGTCGAATGGTGAAGGATCAAGCGCAGGCGAGGGAAGAGACCCTACAAAGGAGTCAAGCTCGAAGAAGAAGAGCGCTGCTGAAGAAGGCCATTTCGGCAGTCGTGACGGCACAGACAACGTTGCCGACGACTCTACTGCCTTTCTACCTACAGCCTCGAAGGATGGAGGGATTGCTCTTGAATTCGGCTACTTCAAGTTTTCTCCTAACAAAATCATGGTGCTAAGGCTCCTTAAGGGACGGCACGACTTGGCGTCGTGGGTCGAGTCCATAGAACCTCAGCTGGAGATTGCGCAACCGAGGCGGTTTGTCGACGGGTCAACGAAAGCCTCTCCTATGTCGGATGCATCGCGGTACGCGAAGTTCCGCTCTGCCCAGCTGCTGACATTCATGGTGATCTCGCGCTACTGCTCGCCTGCTATGAAGATGGCGTTGAAGGCGAGTCGTCTGCGAGTGGATGCAGGCTACCAGGCATGGCGCTTCATCATGGAGACTTACAAGGCAACTGACGATCTCTACATCAGTCAGTTGGAGCAGAGTCTGGCAAGTCTAGAGATGGCAGCGTACAAGACTGCTACCGCCTATTGCACCCCATCATACCCCATCATACC